ATAATAATAATAATGAAAATCTATTCTCTTTCATTAAACCTTTGTTAATACTACAATAAAATGTAACTGAAGGTTTCCTTTTTCTGCTGCCCCGTATAAATTCGATGTTTCAACTACAGAACTTAATATAAGTTGAAGTATTAGAATAAATAACAGGAAGATTTCCTTAGCTTTTTTGGGATTAATAGACCCACTCGAAGCGATCGAGCTAATGCGATCGAAGTCTGAATCTTTCCGGCGCTGCTCACACTCCCTTTCTCACGATATGATCAGACAATGTGAGGTTTATGTTGTAATTCAAACTGCGTTATAATGAGATGTAATGAAAACTCCACTCACATCCATCTCAATTTTTTGTTTCTGTGAATCATATAACAAATGAACAGGGAAGTGACACCCAGTATCCTATGACTAGGTTTTCATTAGCATCGGCTGTATATATGGAAATTTTTTTATAGAATGCCACAAAGCAGCAAAGATCTCAACTCTCACAAACAAAAAAAAAGTTTCTACTTTTATACTAAGCATCATATTACCGCACAGAGAGGGAGAGTTGCGATTAAGGATAATCAGAAGGTGGAAAATTTCTTGTTACATTTTGCAGATTTTGCTTGGCTTATAGACGGATTTTCTAAGCCACTTGATGAGGAGCGAAATAACAAATGCAAGGGATTAGGTTCGAAAACCAACTTACTCTTACAGTTGATTGAGAGTGGGTTTGTAAAAGAATTCTGCCTTAGATCCTCGGTGAAAGCTCTTCTCAAAGTGTCAAAATTGTGGGCGAAATGCCTTGAAATTTCTAAAATTTAGATGGCGCATTGCGACATTATTTTTTGCTAACTTATAGGATCGAACAAAATACATATCTTTCGCTAAGCCTAATGGAATACTTAATGAATAAAAGCTCAAGATTATAACGTTGGACGTGGGGCTATATGGACTTTTATGGGTACGTCCTGCTATTTTTAATATCTGACACATTTTATCGGTTGGAAGGAATTCTTAAAAAAGTATCTGAGTTCTGCAAATTTCAGATTAATCAATTTGTGGCATTGAACAGAAATTAAACTAAATATTTGTTGAAAATTTCGCGAATTATACTGAAGGGACTAGCGAGGAAAATTCTGAAATTAAACAAATAAGGTGTCAAGCATGACTTTCCCTTGATTAAAAACAGACCACTCTTTTCAAGATGGAGAAATGTTGAATGAAAATGATCAAAAACCAAGCAAAAATTGAGCTTTTCAGACAGGCACGCAAGTATTTTTGATATGGTATATTGTGTCCTCAGTGTTTTCCCTGATATTTGGAATGCGCTCCACTCTAACATGGCTCGTCGTCCCCATCTGCGTTGTGATCCTTGGAGTATACGCCATAGCTAGCAAGCGACACAAATATCTTTACCCATTCTTGATAATTACGGTATGCTTAGTCATTAAAGGTCGCTTAAAGTCCTAGTAGTTTTTTTTTTGCAGATCGTGCAGCAGTTGGTGTGTATGCTGATGGCAACAATTGTATTGCTTTTTTCACTCGTTTCTTTTGACACTATGCGACAAATTATTGGTAGGTTTTAGCATTCAAAACTTCTTCTAGTCCTGATATTTCGAACAAACCTTTTTCAGGGCATTCGCTTGACTTGGCAGCTCCACCATCCAAAAGCTTTTCCCTGGCGATAATCGGAGGAACCGTAGCTGTTTGCTTGCTGTTGTCATTTGTTTATGTTTGGCAAGCTGTCATCATCTACAGGTGATTCACAAAATGTTTTTCATAGTTTTATTTCAATTTTCCTTTTTTCCCACCACTTCCTTTATCTATAGGCAATTAACTGATTGGCTTCTCCTACAACGGAAATAAAAAGGCGTAAGCTAAACATTACCTTTTCCAAAAACTATGAAATATGCTAATAATAGATAAGAAAAAACAAATCAATATTTATACAAAACGCTAAATTTCGGAGCTTTACAATGCGATTCTTCATTGAAAGCATTAGAAATTCTAACTGATGCAACAGCTTAAGATCCTTAGCTGGTGCGAGAATTCATATTAAGCATACTTCAGCTTTTAATGCATTCATGAGGTGTTTCACATTCAACGTTTAGTTCTGATTCACATCCCATAAGACAGAGTCAAAGCACCATTGAAAGTCGTGTTTTGACTCTGTCTTTTGGGATATGAAACAGAACTAAACGTTGAACGTGAAACACCTCATGAATGCATTAAAAGCTGAAGGATTATGCTTAATAGGAACTTTAGCAATAAGGGCTCAGGTTTCAAAGTGCTCGTCTGCATCACTTAATTAAATTACAACATCCCATTATATCGCGCGGACTACCAAACAGGTTGAAATTTAGAGGATTTTCTAGAGGTATGCGCTATTACTTATAGAAAAGTGGAAAAATAGAAAAAGAACAATGAATGAGACGCCCTTATATGAAATCTAAGGGAGTTAAAAAATTATACCCTGAGCATCTCTTTGCATTCAAGAACAAATTCGTTAAAAATCGTAAAATTTTCTTTAAAATCGGGGGACAAAGAATATGACCCTTAAGAAGTAAATCAGAATAAAGTTTTATGAAAAATACGTAGTTATCGACGAATTATGGGCCGGATATCGGATTGAAGTAATATTAGGTTGAGAAACATCAGCTAAAGAAAACAATGTAGAAATTCCCAATCACTTTGACATCTGACTGGAAAAAATGTTGGGATTTTTGCCTTCAAGTTTGATGCCATCAAAAAAGAGAATTTCATAAAGGATCTGGTAACATAATTTACTTCGGAACAGAGCTCCTTTAGTGACAAATACAAAGCTACGAAGTGATTTCGCTAGTCTGATTTTGTAAGTGACTGAAATAAAAAACCTGTGACGCAGAGTAGCAGAAGTTATACCCAACTTCCTTCATACTAAACTTGTTCTGGGAGTCCTTTTCCTTAAGTAAAGATGTATCCAATTAGCTTTTTTT